CCACCAGGGAAGCCCAGTCCGTGACTTTTTAACTTTTAGACTGCATTTTACAACTGAGATGCCAGCACTGACGAGCCCAGTGCTGAACTTAATTACAATGAAAGATTTAGGGTTGGTGATACGGTTTACATTTTCTTATCAATTTACTGTACCTGGTTAAATTTCCTCTTTTGAAATGTTTTATGGTCAAGAGGTCTGTGTATTTATATCTCTTGAATTTTAATTACTTTGAATGTACCTTTTGCTTCAAATAGGAAAGCTGTTACTAACTTTTATGCTGCAATTTCAGTATGCTAAAAGAAGTGTTACTTGGGTTTTACTGTGATGCTATATAACTGGTGCTTTCTAACCTTTCAGCTTGCCTAGGGTAGTTAAAAGACGCGTGAATGCTCTCAAAAACCTTCAAGTTAAATGTGCACAGATAGAAGCCAAGTTCTATGAGGAAGTTCATGATCTTGAAAGAAAGTATGCTGTTCTCTATCAACCTCTATTTGATAAGGTAATGCTTTCTAATACTTTGTTTTTTTAATGTAAAATTCAAGAAGAAGATAAAGCTCTGGAAATATAAACAAACTTTTGTTAGAACTGTCAGCAAAATGGTTATTAGAGGAATTTGGGAGAACTATCAATAATAGCAATTCAAGTTGTATGAATTAATTAAATCTTTAAGCATTCTTAATGAGGGACATCTAGTTTTTAGCTTCGATGCCAGTGTTTTTATGTAAATTTTTGTTTTTAATCATTTTAGCGATTTGAGATCATTAATGCCATTTATGAACCTACAGAAGAAGAATGTGAATGGAAACCAGATGAGGAAGATGAAATTTCGGTTGGTATTAACTTTAATTTAGTGTGTTTTTATACCTTGGAAATAATTATTTTTATTGTGAGATGGATAGTGAGTGCAGATGATCCACTGTTAGCCCAACTCCACCTGTACCCAAATTCACCTTTTCCTTGCATTTTTATAGCATTTAAAGTTTATAGATTCATATAAACTTTTCGTTTGAACTTCATGATGACATACAAAAGGATTGTTCCCATTTTTTAAAGTGCAAATGGAGGTCTCTAAATGTCCTGCCCACAACTTATAGATGGCAGAGCTGTGATACAAATCCAGTGCTCTGTTACATGACCTGTTTCTCCAGCATTGATGTTTTAACATTGGTGATTAAGAGAATATATTTTGATTAAGAACACCAATGGGTGAGGCAATGGACAGGGTTTATATTTCTTTTGCTTTTCCTCTTTACTGTGCTTAAGTCTTATTTTTTTTTCCTCTTCTCTCCCATGAAGCTGAATTTTTTTTCCTACAGCTCATGGTCCTAGTGGCTTTCTTTTTGGAAGGGGTATGGTAGTAGAAATATTATGGAAGTAAGGTCTGGTATGGGTAACAGCAGTGTTTACACAATTAGACTAGAACTTCTTTGGCTAAATGTTGAAATTAGTTATTGAGGGTTTGTTGGGTTCTCTGCCACTGCATGCAAGTTAAGGGGATGTGAAAAATTTTATCAAGATGTCTAATCTGGGTATCCAGTAATGATGAATGCTGTCTTTTATTAAGGAGGAACTAAAAGAAAAGACCAAGATTGAAGATGAGAAAAAGGATGAAGAAAAAGAAGACCCCAAAGGAATTCCTGAATTTTGGTTGACCGTTTTTAAGAATGTTGACTTGCTCAGTGATATGGTTCAGGTAATTTTATTCATAAAAACACCAGTTTACCTCAAAGGGTAAACCTTTGAAGTTTAAATGGCTCTGATGACTAGTCTCTTTATTATTGATTTTTATAGAATGATTGCTTTCTTCTTTTTTTTTTTGGAGAGGGCCCATGCCACGCCATACGGCTTGTGGGATCTTAGTTCCCCGATCAGGGATCGAACCCGGGCCCTTGGTAGTGAAAGCGAGGAGTCCTAACCACTGGACCGCAAGGGAATTCCCATGATTGCTTTGTTTTGAAAGAGCTGTTATTGGTAGAAGGAAAATTGCAGCTTTGATTAATGTAATCAAATAAATTATAATTTGTTTTCAAAAATTAGATAATGAAATAGTCCCTTTGGTAATTGCTTATCTCACTGTATGATGCTTTCTCATATATCCCTGTGCCTTCTGTTTTTAGATGTGGAGTGTGGTGGTAGGATGGGGGAGTTTCAGTTGTCCTACCCCAGAGACCTTTTCAGTCTGAAACAACTACTCCAAGGGACATTTGTATTTTAAAAGAATACTGTAAAAATATTTACCTATTTTAACAATTGTCATTTTCCCTGGGAAACTGACACAGATGTCACCTTCTCTGGGAAACTTTGCCTCTCCTAATCTGAATCATTTCTTGAGCCGCTATCATCTGCATTGTAGTACTTGCTACCTTGTATTGTGATTGTTGGACGTTGATGTCAAGAAAAAGAAACTGTCTCAGAACAATGACTGCTTACTGCATTTCTACTTTTTAGCAAAGTAGAAAAGGAACAAGCAGCTGGAAAAGGCAGCAATTAATGATTGGGGAAGCTTTTTTTTTTTTAAATATTTTTGGCTGCACCACACGACATGTATGGTATATGCATCTTTAGTTCCCCGACCAGGGATCGAACCCGTGCCCCCTCCAGTGGAAGCGCAGAGTCTTAGCCACTGGACCGCCAGGGAAGTCCAGGTCTGGAAACATTTTTAAATCAAACATGAATTATTTAGACTTGATTTTGAACTTTTCAGCCCATTCAGTCTATATAATGATGTAGTTCTCTATTTAGTCACCTTTTTTCAGCCAATGGTGATAGAAGGTAGAACTAAGTAAACTAGCTTCACTATAAGGCATAACCTGGAGAATTAAGTCTTTATGGTTCATAATAGTACATAAAACTGAACAATAAAATGTCTGTCAGTTAAGTGCTTATTGTCTAATAACAGAACACTAGTATGCCATTCAGATACTCATTTTAATTTTTTTTATTTTTATCAAATTAATTTTTTTTTTAATTTGAAGGAACATGATGAACCTATTCTGAAGCACTTGAAAGATATTAAAGTGAAGTTCTCAGATGCTGGTCAGCCTATGGTAAAAATTTTGAAATATTTTCAATTTTGTAGCATTAGCTGTTTTCAAGTAGATAAATGGAACTTTCTAAAGAAGGGTGACATTCAAGGGTTAGACATGGGAGTGGGAAGAAATTAAAACTGATACTTAATTGATGGTAGGAAATAAATGTTTGGACGTTGACAGTTGTGATGCAGTATTTATTCCTTTTCCTCCCTCTGTAAACTATTTTTGAAATATAGTCAATTTTTGATCCTAGATTAAAAATGTATATAAAAATAATAGCAAAGGAACATGAATAAGAAAATGCTTATTCTGTATTAAAAGACATGTGTCTGGGAATTAAGTAAAACAAAAATGTTAGAGGGCTCCCACTTCCCCATTATGAAAGATCAGCCAATGGCTTCTCTCCAAAACCATCACTATTATGTAAAGCATGGGCAAAGGCTCTGTAGGCTATTAGTTCTTATATTACATGTGATACGGTTGGGCTTTTTCTCTGTCAAGCTAGGTTCTAGTCTAAGGTTTAAAGTCCTCTCTGTGGAGATGGGGGGGGGGGGGGGTGGTCAGTTTATTCAGCTGTACCTAACCTATGTCATAAACATGTTACTAAATAGTAGTGTTAGCTGAACTAAGTTTTATTCAGTTTATTTTGTGCCACATTTTGCTTTTAAGATACTTCGGGATTTATCTGACCCTTTCTTTCCCAGAGTAGGACTTTGTCACTTAAGATTTTATATGTTTATAAAAATCATAGATTAAGCTTTATTTACTGAAGCATTGAAATTTATCATGTAGGAATTTAATTACTTTTTATGCTTTTTCTTTTTTTTTTTTTAAGAGTTTTGTCTTAGAATTTCACTTTGAACCCAATGAATATTTCACAAATGAAGTGTTGACAAAGACATATAGGATGAGGTCAGAACCAGATGATTCTGATCCTTTTTCTTTTGATGGACCAGAAATTATGGGTTGTACAGGGTAAGTTTAATTTTATTACTTTAACAGCATTATATGTGCTTTTGCTTTACTTATGATTTGTGATATTTGGTATCTTCTAGTGTGTCTGCTTAGTACACACATACATTTTTACCTCCAAACATTTCAGTAAAACGTTTGCTGAGAAGGGCTTATTCATTTTCCTAGAATTCTCCATAGACCATTACAGATATTTTTCCAAAGGAGTGTACATTTAAATTTATTGTGAGTTTGTGGTAATTGTAAATATATTTATTGAAAAAGTTTGTTTAGAAATAAAAATTTTCTCTTTGTACTGCTACAAAAAGCAGCACAATTTCCCCTCTAAATTTGAAATTAAATAGAAATTTAATTAGAAAAATCTCATCTTTCCTAGCAATTGAAAGTAATGTGTTAATTGTGATAGACCATCTCTCCCCTTTGTTTTGGAAGGTGCCAGATAGATTGGAAAAAAGGGAAGAATGTCACTTTGAAAACCATTAAGAAGAAGCAGAAACACAAGGGACGTGGGACAGTTCGTACTGTGACCAAAACAGTTTCTAATGACTCTTTCTTTAATTTTTTTGCCCCTCCTGAAGGTAAATAGTGTTTTACTTTGGGTATTTATGGTTGTTTTATTGTAAGCTTTGTTTACTTTTTGTTCATTTGAATTTCTTTTCTCAATTTTGCAGTTCCTGAGAGTGGAGATCTGGTAAGCTGAATTGTTATTTATTTGTTGAATTGTTTACTAAATATGAAATTAAAGGACTGGTTCTTAAATGTAGGGAGTAGAATAGTTGCTACTAGTATTTTGTTCTGAGGCTTGCAATGCATAGAGGAAGACCTTTACGCATATGAAAAATTACTCCATTTAAAATGCTTTTGAGGCTTCCCTGGTGGCACAGTGGTTGAGAGTCCGCCTGCCGATGCAGGGGATGCGGGTTTGTGCCCCGGTCCGGGAGGATCCCACATGCCGCGGAGCGGCTGGGCCTCTGAGCCATGGCCGCTGAGCCTGCAGGTCCAGAGCCTGTGCTCCGCAACAGGAGAGGCCACAGCAGTGAGAGGCCCGCGTACCGCAAAAAAAAAAAAAAGCTTTTGGTGCTTCTACTGAGAAATGGTGAAAGGCTAAAGAGAGTCCTTTCTTCTGAGACTTGCGAATACTGCTGTGAGGGATTCAAGTTTTCAAGACTAGTTTTCTTCCTTATTGAAAATAGAATGTATTAAATCATTTATACTATTTACTAAACACTAACCAGATTGTACTTAAGAGTTCTTTGTGTGGTTATTATTCCGATGGAAATTTGGCTTTATATATGTGGTCATATAGCCGAAAACTGAAATGTGCCTAGCACACAGCCAGGAATGAGGAACAGCCTTAAAGAAATCTACACAGGCAAGGTAGGCTAGTTCAGTTTTGAATTTGGCTTAAGTCTGTTACGAAATATTGATGGTACCAAAACAATCTTGAGTTATGGATAGAACACCTCTGCCTGTGATTAGAATCCTTTCCTTCAAAGTCTTCCCCCACGACCCTTTGGTGTTTTATTGTTGTTGTTGTTAGAGTGGATTATGTTGATGAATCAAAATAAACATTCAGGAATTCACAGAATAGTTACTCAGTGTTTAGTATCACAGAACTAGAACTTTAGTATCATAGAATGATTTTAATTTTGAATAATATCAACAGCATTTCTGTGCTGTACTTTGCCATTAAGTAGAAATCTTAGATTGACTTGGTCTTTATCAAGTAGGACAGTATCTCACTTGGCATTACACAGACGCTTGGATGCTGTCTTTTAGGAAGTGTGAAATGATCTTCTCTGGTCTTATGTGCCATATACATAATGTTATTTGGAAAAGCCTGAGATTCTTTCTTACTGTTATTCCGGTTGGTGTTTTCAGTAATTAATATTTTAAAAAGAAAGTTGTAGTCATATAGCAAAGTTGCTTTTGTAACTTTTAAGCTAGAGAAAACTTAAGCGATAACCAGTATGTATACTGGCCTGCTAACTTATTTTTATTAAAAACCTGTAAACCTAGGGCATATGTAGAGACTATTTGATCATGCACATGTAAGATAATTTTAAAAGTTTAAAGTTAAAAGTGAAGTTGAGAGTTTCTGCATATGATTTAAATCCAAGTCTCGCATATGCCAAATTAAATAAGTTATTAAATTCTGTGCTTTTATTTTTCTTTAACAGGATGATGATGCTGAAGCTATCCTTGCTGCGGACTTTGAAATTGGTCACTTTTTACGTGAGCGCATAATCCCAAGATCGGTGTTATACTTTACTGGAGAAGCCATTGAAGATGATGAGGATGATGTGAGTGAATTTGAATCCAGCAGTGAAATCGTTTGGTGAGGGTGTGATAGTCAGAATCGGTGAGAGGTTTAGTGAATAGATGCAATTGTTAAAAATTTAGCAAGGCAGAATAATTCAAAATTAGGCTGATTACTTATGTCCTTTTAGATAACCTCCTTGAATTAAGTAGGTCCTTTTAGGATCTTTGGGTTCATTTATTGTAGTTTTTATTTTCCTGCTATTAGGAAGGCTACTTTCTCTGAAGTAGTAAAACTTCACTATGTTGGGTTAGTGTTGTAAATCCATTACACATCTTTGACCAAACAAAACGTAACCTTGTACATTTTCTACTACTGATAAAAATCTTTATTAGGAAGCATGGAATTTTTATCCATAGGAATATTAAGTAACGATTAAGGTAAAATTAGGCTGCTCTCAAATATTTTGTATATCTTTCTTGTTAAATGGCAATCATTCACATAGACTTTAGGTCCTTTTTGTACAGGCAAGTAATATTTACAGTCATAGTTATCTGATCATACTTCATCCATGATTGTACTGTGTTCTTTATTTTAATTTTTTAAAGTGTCAGGTTTAGATAATGGCACTGAGCTGGGTGATTCCTGAAGCTATTGTCCTTGTTTTAATTTATAATCAGTCACTATAGGGGATGTATTTTTTCCTCTCTTTAGATATTAGGGGATACAATGGTGGATATTAACTAAATGCTACTTTCAGATGTTTGTTAGTGTCATTCAAATGTCTCCTTTTTTCCCCTTTTTTAGTATGATGAAGAAGGTGAAGAAGCGGATGAGGTAATGTTTACCAAATGAGCAAATAATTCTGTTTAACACATTGAGAAGCAAATTGAGTGACTTATGTATTCCTTTGCTATAAATCATTACTCTGTGATATGGGATAAAAACGTTTTTGGAAAAAAATACGGTTTTAGAATTCTACAGCCAAACAATGTATGTATGAGGTTTCAATAAATAAATTGCAAAACTCAGAACATTTTTTTTATTTCAAATAATTCTGTTCTGCTGCAGGGTTATCAGCTCTTTGAAGAAGTCAAAAGCTGCAGTAAACTTTTTCAACGTTGGCTGCAGTAAATCTTTTCAATAAAACCTGTCTGGATGTCTCAAGTTGTGTTGGGAAATCTTTCATATTAGAAGCTTTCAAATTAAATTGCATTGTCACCAAACTCTGTAATCATGAAAATCTGTTGACTTATAGAGTAATTTGTATTAAATTCTCCCCACATTATGAGCCGTTTCTTCCTATTATGTACCTACTTCATGGATGCATTTTGAACTTTAATATAGGAAGGGGAAGAAGAAGGAGATGAGGAAAATGATCCAGACTATGACCCAAAGGTGAGCAAAATTAGTGCTGCTTTTTCTGTTAAATTTAAGGCAGGTTAAATATGAGTTAGTGTTTCTTAATGTAAAGTTTATTTTAGTCTATTAAAGTCTTTAATAAATCTCTCCTCACTGGCATTTCAATAGTACATGTAATTTCAATGCACCTTTCCTAAGAAACGTTTATTTTTGGTTCTGACCTTTATTTTTCCTACTTTCAGGCGAAATAACCCTAGGTTCTATTTTAATGGCACATTATCTTGGGCATTTTTTTTTAATGTTTTTTTTTAGAAGCACTTAAAATTACTTATTGCTTGTGTTCTTTAGGTTGTTTTCTCCCCAAAGGAAAGCTTATAATAGGTCAGTTTTTAAATCATCTGAATGCGGGAGTGCACAAGAATAGGGGAGCAATACTCCTAGGTTCTCCCAGTCATCTCTTTGCTCCATATCTGAGAGTCCCAGTTTCTTATTCCTGGGAAGTTGTCATGTGGACTTTATCTCCCACAGAATGCTTAGTATGTTATCAGAATTCATTTGGAACTTCTGGTTTCTCTTTAATGTATTTATTCATTTGCTTGTGCTGTAAAAATATCCAGAAGATACTTTAACCTAGTGAGCAGGTAACAGAGGGTAGTTAAAAAAAATCAAATATTCTAATAGGTATGAATTGGGGTTAACAGCTAAATATGAATGGAATTAGTATTTTAGAATAACTGATCTATTAAAAGGCAAAAATAATTGGTAATATGACTTAACAAATTGCTTGGCTATTTTAAGATGATAGCTTAATGTGTTCACTTTATGGAGTTCATTCTACAATGTAAAATTGGGGCTTTTATTTTTTAGCATTTTTGTGACTTGATAATATTTGAATAAATAATTTGCCATCATTTATTTTTTTTAATTTGGCAGAAATTTTGACAGAACAGTGAGATAATGTGATAATTAAGATAGTTAACTACTATTGAAAAATAAACTGAAGCAGGTAGAAAAAGATAGATTGACTTGTTGTTTTCCTTTAACAGAAGGATCAAAACCCAGCAGAGTGCAAGCAGCAGTGAAGCAGGATGTATGTGGCCTTGAGGATAACCTGCACTGTAATAGCCTAAACACAACTATTATTTACTTACAGCCTTATGTTTTTGTATTTTCTTGGTAGACTCAAGTTTATTTTTAAAGGAAAGGAACTGATATTTTAAAGACCAAATTTGTTCTACTTAGCATTTTAACTAGTTTTTCTGCCAGATACATTGAATGCACAAATTCTCTCACGCATGTTTGTTCATTGCTACATATTTGGTTCTTCCTGGAGTATTTTTATCTTGTAACTACTAGATTACAGTTATGAAAATGAACAGAACTGTGAAATGAACCAGATCTTTTGTCTTGCTAATTTTTTTCCTGAAGAACCAAAGTATTTTTTCAGCGGGTAGTTGAATGGGTTTAAGTTCGCTTGCACTAGCTGTGCCTTTCATTACTTTGTTACAGAAATACGGTGACTTGTACTAAGACAATTCATCATTTAAAAAACAATACTTGTCAAGACAAGTATATGGTTAAGAATTTCCAGTAAGACCACACCTGATAACTTAAGATTGTTAATGGATTTTTGTATTTCAGGTGACAGTTACTATAAAGAAATCTTATTAACTAATAGTATGGTTATTGGTTACCACAGGGAGGTGAATAAAACCTAGTATTTTCAGAAGTTAAGTCTCATTATTTTTATTTTAACTGTACTTTTAAAATTTAACCTCCATTAACTAAGCATCTTTTCTTTGTGGTAGGGTCTACCTTCTGCTTCCCTGGAAAGGATGAATTTACATCATTTGACAAGCCTATTTCAAGTTTTTTGTTGTTTGTTTGCTCGTTTTTGTTTTTGCAGCCTAAAATAAAAATGTCAAATATAATTTTAGTTCTCCAGAGATAATGTCTTAATTTTGTACTAGTTCAGGTAGAAGCAGAGGCCTAGCTTAAATTATGTACCCAGTTTACCGCATTATTGAAAAGGGTGCCAACTTTGGAAGAGGTACTACATCTACTAATGAGAGAGTATTAAAAAAGAAAACAAAATCTTAAATGATTTAATGTTTTTAATAGAAAGATTAAAAGGGTAAATTTTATTTCCTTTGGTCAGAACTAGACAACAGGCCCCAAGCCTCTACAGTTAATTCCAATTCTTATTCCTTAAAGTGTGAGTGTGTCATTTACCCACGCCTTTTGTTTTACTATCTATTAAAATGGGTAGTACTGTTTACTTAACTACCTCACAGATGTGTTAAGGCATATTAAGTTAAATTTTATGAAACGTTTCTCAGTCTCATCAAAAGCTCAAAAGTTTGGACCTATTTGTACCACAAGTATGTGATATTCGGCATTTTATTTATACCAAGGTCTGATAGTTAAACTGGAAAACAAAGATTAAGGACCTTTATTCTGGATCCGGTCAGGCAACCCTTGCAGATCTTTGTGTGGCTCCTATTTTAATAGAAGTGGATGGACGAGCAACTGTTTGAAAAGGTCCAAGAATTTTTTTTCCAGCTCTTTTAATTATGACCATATTGTAGTAAATACTGCAGATATCATGGGGCTAAAGTAGAAATAAGACCATTTTTAGAGGGGGGGAAATGCCATTAAATTAGACTGTAGAGCCACGTTTAAAATACCTCAGGCTAATTACTGTTACTTTTGGGGATGAACTTTAAAGCTTTGACAGTGAGGATGGACTAATTGGGTTGTAATTATAGGAAGGCCTTAGAGTTCCTTCTATATTAATAAAATTACATTGCGTTCCTTTTTAGAGGTGATAGAGCTTCTGTTTTAAAAATTTAGTATTAAGGTCTTGGAATGTAAACACATTGTGTTCTTTGTATAGTACTGTCCTTCGTTCCTCTCCTGAGATTTTAATTAACTACTGGAAATCCTTAACCAATTGCAGTAGCTTATAGGGGGGGAACGGGGAAAATGCCATGAAAACACCTGTTTTTCCTCTTTATTTTCAAAATGATTTTGGTTGTTTTGATTAGACATTCTGTGACTTTTTTTTTTCTTTTGTACCCATAGCTCACCTGAACACAGCTTTTTCTGAACTTAAAATTTTTAATCTAAAGATAGAATCCCATTTTTAATGAACTTAAAGAAGTAGAAAAATCACTACTTTTTTTTTTTTATTCCTTTAGGAAATAGCTGTTGCCAAAGTGAAGAGGTAGATACCATTTCATCTTGTTATATAAGGGGGAATATGGTTTGCAGAGGAATTGTTTTTTTAAATAAAGTTGGCGTTTCAAGGGATATCAGTGTTCATCTATGCCATCGTTCCAGTTTCAAAATGGTTCTATTCCATTCTAGAAATTTGACATATGTAATTTGAAATCCTTAATAAAACTGCATTTAATTTTATAAAATGTACTGGTGATATTTTGGGTGGTTTTTAAAAAGAATGAGTATATACTTTTTTTTTTTTTTTTTTTTTTTTGAAAGAGTGGAGAGTAGAGATGTTTTGAGTAGGCTATTCAATGCTTAGGCCAATGATGGCCTGTAAAATGTGTCATTTTAAGAGCAACCTCCCAAGCTCTGCTAAATCGTGTTTGTTATTGGAAGACTAGACAGAAAGGAATTCCCTAGTTCTACAGATTATACTCTGAGTTAACTATAGACGTTTTTGAGGCCCTTCGAATTTTGTCTTTACATTTTCAGTTTATAGTATTCTCTAGCCCAGGCAGTGACTACCAAGAAATTCTCTTTTTCTCTCTAGAAATGGTAAAATCCCATATGATCACCTGTAAAGTAATGCTTAAATTTTTTTTTATTCAAATATGGTTATAAGCAGAGAACAACAGTTCCATAAATTGATTGGTTTTTAGATTAACATGGATCTCTGAACGTTATTTTATCTAGTTCACTGAAGCTGTATTAGTATTTATGTGACATAAAAATGTCTTAATTGTGTGGAATTGGCTTACAGAGTAGTGCTTTAAAACGTGGGATTCTACCTCTGTTTCCTTTTTAACACATTTAATAACAACACGTAAACCTTAAAAGGACACATTAGCTTCGACAGAAACATTTTAATTATTCTGTGAACGGGTTATGGTATTCATTGGTGTATTTGATAAGGCCCTTAAGATAACTGAATTAACTGTATATTACTGCTGCTTGTAAGACAGTGAATTTGTGGGTTATCTGAGTTGTAGGCCATTCCCATCATTGAAAATAAAAATAAAACTGAATCATTGTGAAAACCTTATTGTACCATGCAGAAGTATTAAACTATTTAATATTCAAATATTCTTTGCTTGGTTTTAGGGCTTGGTTTAGAATTTGAGTCCTTTTTTATGAGTTAGTCTTATAAAAATTTTAGCCTTTATATTTTTGACTATTTAAGTCAAGCCAAATGTTATTTAAATGTACAGAATTAATGGATAGTTTAGAAGAAGCATACATTATAGGAACCTTAGGAAAGAGAAATCATATGCTAACATAGATTTTAATCTTCTGCACTGTATATATACTTGGTAATTGTGAACTGGATTTTGTTTTGAAAATCCGTGTTTATAATTTAGGTAGTTTGCTACTTAAAGCACTAAGTTGCTAATAGCTGAAAAATAAATGTAAATGATAATGGTGAAATTAACTGAGATTAACTTATATAGTGGTGATTTTTGTATACGGGTTTAAAAATCCAGATGCTAAAATTATAACTTGGAGAAAGAGCCAAGTTTTTGTATTAAGGATTACTTACTTCAGAGAAATGGGAACATCTTTGTTGGAGTGTAGAATTATTTAAGGATAAATGTTTATTAGAAAACTTAAATTGTATTCAGTTAATTTTATTTTCAAATAATACAATATACGCGCTATCTTGTGTTTCTTCCGTTTGACATTATATACCATACTTTGTTTTTCAGTTTTTTTAAAAATTGAGGTATTGACTAAAGTGTAAAGTAAACGAGAAACGGAGCACAACAATTTAGAAATAATGAATTGGCGGCAGGAAACAAGTTAACCAAATTGCTTACTTTTCATGTTGAGAGTTTATAGCTTTTGTAGATCTCTTATTTTGAGTTTTATTATTTTGAAACTCGGGATGTGTTAGTTAAAAGCAGTACTTTTTAGTTCTTCATCTGTGTGGGTGCTTTTTGTTTTTAAGGAGAAGTCTGTGTCTTCATTGGCCGGCAGGCTATTTGAGGCGGATGGAGTGGGAGGGGTGGGTGGCCCCGTGCTGCGCCGGCCGTGCTGCACAGGCGGGCTCTTAGGTGATTGAGAACTTGCCTCGGTAGTGCCCAATCATCGCAGGCTTGATTTCCACCTGGTTAAAGGTCTTGCCGTTGTAGACGCCCACCATGCTGCCCGTCACGTTGGGCTGGATGATAATGTTGCACAGGTGCGTTGACCACCTCGGGCTTCTTCTTGGGCGGTGCCGCATACCTGACCTTGCGCAGGCGCTTCGGCAGCCAGTGCTGTTTCCTCCGCAGGCGGCGGTGCGGCCGCCGCCACTGCCTCGCGCGCCATGAAGCTGCCTTAGCTGCTCCTAGGAGTGGGTCGAGGTCCAGGCCACAGTAGGTGAGCTCGTGGAAGGTCTGCTGCTTTCCACTTCTGCTGTCTTGTCGGTTCTTCAGAAAGGCTAGGTTTTCATGTATTTTACGTTTGAAAATAAGGAACTGGGGGTTGTGTTGAAAAATGCAAGTGCCAGAAGTGGACAGATTTCATAGTATTAATACTCATTTTTCTTTCATAATGAAGTTAAGCAGTTGTTGCTCAGAAACTTTCATGGAGTGGTAAAAGTTTCTGCCAGAATACTCAAACCTTACGTAAGAGCTTTTAGCTGGGAATTCACGGATGAGTAGGAATTTGTGTAGTGAGGGTGGAGCCTCCGAGCAGAGAGCAGTTCAGGTGAAGGTTTTAGAGGAGACACAGCATGAGGGTCCTGAAGTAGGACAATCCATGGCACTTTCAAGGCAGTGAAAGAATGGATGACATAAGGGGCGAAGCCATGGAAGGCTTAGCTGTAGAAGTCCTTTTAAAGGGGTTTTCAAGTGATGATGACTTTTCCATGAAGATAACTTTAAAGTAAGACATGATTAAGAGTCAACCATTCGTAGGTAAGAACGTTGGGGCTGGTTAGAGGCTGGGTCTAAAAGTAGGGTAGAGTGTCAAAGTAAGGGATGAAGGTTTTTGGGTTTTTTTTGTTTTTTAAATAATAGATTCAAGGTTATCTGCAATGAATCCTCTTAAATTCCAGATTGCTTTTTGCAAGGAAGCCCTTATGGATATTGCAACTTTTCTCTAACTCTAAAGTTACAATAGTTGAAAGAATTCCTGTACATCCTTTGCTCAAAATCACCATTTATTGTTTTTGCTACATGATTCTATATTCATGCATATATCTTTTTTCTATAGTACTTGACAGAGTTGGAGGCACTGTGCCCTTTTAGCCTCTAAATGCTGTATTTTTTCATTAGGAAGACACTCTTACAGAATCACAGTATGAGTAATCAAAGTCAGGAAATTTTACTGTGTAATCATAATTCATTTTGATGCTTCAGTCATCTCAGATTTGATCAATGGTATCCTTTTACAATTGGTTCCTGTGTGCTTTTGGTGTGTCCTGCATCATTTGAGCTCTTGCATACTTTATAGCTCAGAAAGATTTTCTGGGATCATCTTAGGCTTTTTTGTACCAGCTCTGAAACTGGCTATTTCCCCAAGGATCCCTGGTTCCCTTTAATGGGCAGTGGTACTTAGAAATCAAGTCTAGGTGATGGGTTTGCTTGTTCTTGGGATGTTATTATTTCTAGGTCTTTTCAGGTGACAGACTTAGGAAATATATTAAAAACTGAGTACACACTGAATATTTCAAAGTTAATCCAACACAATAGGATTTTTTTTCCAGCCTTACCCCAGTACATATTTGTAACTACCTTCAAACAGGTGGGGTTGGTAGTAGCTGATCCAACTGAGAATTGTAGGTGAGGTTGCTCTATAGGAATAAGAAACCATGAATAAAAGTGGAAAAGATTTTCGACTGAAACCTTGGCAGCCCTAGA